TGTAAGATCTTGAAAGTGCTTCTTCCATAAAAGCTGCCAAACACTTTCTGTCCAAAAATCATCCATACAATAATTATTTGGCTACAAAAAGTGAAAGTTTCTAATTTTAACTTATTGTTTTATTAGAACTGAATATAGACTGCTTTTGCATCTAAAGTCTCATTTTCCTGGTATACCATTAATGGCATTAACAGCAACTGCCACTTCAAAAGTTAAGGAAAAGATTGTCCATGATGATAGAACCAATACTCAGAACTTCAATGGTAAACAGGAGAAATATTTCACTCCATCATGAAGAGTTAAAGAAATTGACAATTTATATTATGCTATGTCATTTGAACAGGTACTACAGACTACTACACATGTATTGCTGACTATCTTGCTGAAGTAGTTGGTAACAATCGCTCCATTGTGTATACTAACTTTGTTAAAGATGTTGCAGCTTTGGCAATTGCTTTAAAAGGAAAAGGAATAAATAGTAGTAGCTACCATGGCAAAAATTTATTTAGCCATGACAATTTGAAGATAATTGAGGATGATGACTCTGACATACAAGCAAGTGTATCAAGCATTAATTCTGTGTATGATGAAAAGTTTATGTATATTTATAGCTAATGGTGTGCACTTCTGCACCTGGAATGGGTATAGATGTTCCTAATATAGACTTGGTTGTTAAACTTGGTTGCTCACATACAGCACATTTGAGGAATTAGTCCAACAGTTCAGAAGGGCTGGAAGAGATGGCAGAAAGGCAAAGGGTATTAAATGCTATGAAATTTATGTGATGCAATGTAATTTTGGTAAAGGTCTCCTTTTTTGTGAAGATAACCTCTAGCATGCTTTATTTTGGGGTAAGGATACATTGTGTAAGTCATATGATGAGAAAAAACTGCAGTTATCAAAATTTCAAGATGTTTGTAGGTACATGTATATCATTTTTATTACCGTGTGCCATCAATTTTATGTTATACCCGTACACAGGTATGCTTTTGCTCATCATCATTGACGAGATACCAGCTAGTCCTGTAAACTACTGGATAAAAAATGAAATCTTCAGGAAAATGATTGTTTACAGCTAGAAGGAACCCATCACCTTTCAGACAAGCATGTCATAGCTACTGCTAAACTACTGTCAAAACAATTCCCAGACATGCCAATGATTCAGTCGTGTTTGTATACTCAGAAACTAAGTCTCATTCAGCTGTCTACAAATGATTCATTATTTTTCCACAACTTTGGGGACCATTGGGTTACTAGTCATTTTATGGATGGCATTGCTTTTCTTTATGACTCCTTGTACACAGAGATCATTCACTCAGAGCTAAAGAAGCAGCTCATTGCCCTCTATGGATCTGCTATGGTAAAAGTACCGTGGTTGGTGAAGGAAAAGGTGATAAGGATTGTGCCTGCTTTGCAGTAGCATACGCAGTATCTATTCATTATGGAGATGATCCTGCTAACAATATATTCGATCAGTCACACATGAGACAACTCATGATTGAATGTTTCAAATGTTTCAAAAACATATTTTATATGCCATTCCCATCTATGACATGAAAATCAAGATGCAATGTATCAGAATATGTTACCAAACTACATTGATTATTACAAACAAGTTAACAAATGTATGTTATTTAATGTTCAAAGTTATTGTATTGGTCTATGTAGCTAATTATACTTGCAAAATGCATGGTGGAATGCTAAAGGTGACCAAATAAATGTTGCGTAGCTATCCCATATAGCAGGAAATTTTGGAGGGAGTTAAATTCAGCAAATTACTATATTTTGGTAATCGGCAAATTCAATTTGGCAAATTTGTGGTCACATACCATTGAGCATGCATATAATGGCTTGAAATGGTGGATTTTATTTTGGAGTTTTGCTATCAAAATGCCAAGTTCACCAACTTCAATTCCCTCCAAAATTTGCCACTACAGTATATGAGGGAAACAAAGTGCTGTTACATTATGAAAAAAGTGCAGAGGGCACAAATTCTTCCCCATAGTATTATAGAGGCAAAATAGTGCAGCAAGCATTAATTCTTCCCTTAAGTATTGTAGGAACAAAATAGTGCAGCAGGCACTAATTCTTGCCTATAGTATTGTAGGGACAAAATAGTGCTTGGTACTAATTTCTGCCTACATAGATAGGTCAAATTGTATATCTGTATAATAGTGCCTAGTGACACCATTATGTAGGAAGGAAATAGTACATTTGAACACTATTTCCTCCCTCTATAATCATGGTTTTCTAATTTAATGACATACTCTACGGATCGTAAAAAACAGACATACCCCAAGTTACACAAAAGCTTCAAAAACATTTGCAAAACAGCTAATGGCAATTATTTTTTCATAGATATATACAAGTATAAAACAACCAAATACTTAGCTGTAGCAACAAGTGAAGTGGTGCTACAAGTTACAAAAAGTCTATCCATTCAGGAGTCATGCAATAAGTAAAATAGCTGTTTGGCTTGCTATTAATAGTACTACTTCATCTCATAACAAGACTTTTCCTTCAATTCCACTTAAGATGATTGACAATGAGCCACAACTCTCGTTATTGCCCTCACCCACGCCATAGGCGTATAGGCAAGGGTACTGCTCTCCTTAATTACATGTACTTCCCCTGCAACTCTTCTATAGACCATTCCCATCCACTAGCTATGCTTAACTAACACAGAGTTACATGAAATCATACCTTTTCCCAACTTTTCTTTCCCAAATGATGAAATCTTTCTTTTCTTAGGGTCCTCTTGTCAACTTTTCTTGTCTTAGCTCATGTCTTTGGCATCTTCTATAGATACATCATACATCTTTGTTAGAAACATTCAATTTTACCTCAATTATTAAACAAGGTCCAACAAAAGTAACTTGGATAAAACAGCGATACACAGTTCAAGTGAACAGTCAACAGTCTTATAGCCGCACCTACTCAAATTAATTGCATTATAGATACTACATACACACATGGATAACAAACAGGAATTGATATTGATGTGCCATATGCTTTTGACGCCGGATATGACTCATAGAGCATATAATGAATAATCTACACACGTGAATAAGCATGGCTATTAGCAATGAAGACTGATAGTGAGGAGTTTCACTTGATTTAGAGCCAAGTTCTCAGTTGGATGAGCTCCAGGTGAATACTTCTACCACCAAGTAGGTCAAATAACATTTAATTTGTGATGAAGTCAAAAGGGGATGAAACAAAAGCTCTAGAGACTATTGTGTATTACATCAAACATAAGATATTATTTTATATGCCTATAATAATAATTTTAGTCATAATTTAGGTTCAACAGATGCTTTTTGCCATCTATATTTACAAAGTTTTATCAACACCTTCACTTTTTCAGAACAAAATTCATCGTGAGCAAAGTTGGCGTATTCCCTTCCTGTTTCTCACTTAAACATGTGAGACTAAATTATAAACTTTAATTCATAACAAAGTAATCATATTCATGGAGACTGTAATAATATTCATTAATGCAATATTATATTTATAGCAAAACATTAATGCTGTCACTTGCTTGCAAAAGCTACAATAAATAGAATTATCAATAAAAACAAAACTGCATTTAGTAATGGAAAAATAGCAGTGCTATCTTGTAGAATCAATAATGGCAAGATTCCTACTCGCTTATTTGTTGAAATCCATGCTTTACTTAAGCTGCCATACACCAGGAAAACAAGAACATCAACTTCCATTGCAACTGAGTCTGGAATGAGAGAAGGGAGATAAAATTACCTAATTACTAGAACAAGTAAGTTCCTAAAGAATCAAAAGTTATGCAAATATTTAAAAGAAATTTGAAGTTCAATGCATAATTGATAAACAGTGCATGGTAAAAATTTAAAAGCAGCACAAGTCGTACAACTTTTTATTTCCTCGGTATTTTTAAGAATCAACCATACCTTTAATGTACCATCAACTGTAACGACTATCACTGCATCTGTAATGAGAGTAAGAGAGAGGAGAGAAAAGTGTTAAAAGTGTAAAAACAAACCCAATTTATGGCCTATTAATATTAAATTAGTGTCATGTCTTCAGAAGAATTACTGTACGTGTTATCATTTTGAAAAATGTGATGTAGTATTAACACAACATACAAAACTACATATTACATGTATATATTTGTCTTGTTGTAGCCATTGACAAAAGGTCTCAGAAAAGCTCATAAACATAATTGTAGACTGATCAAAATTACATGAATGCATCAGAAAATAGGCAAAAAATATTAAAAGTACTAATTATTAAATTGGGTACCTCTAACCACAAAATAGAGGCCCAACATGTATCTGTCAGCAGTTAATCAACAGAACAGGTGACTGTATAAAACGTGCATTGTTTCACAAGTATACACTGCAAACAATGTTGACTACACATTTAATCACAACAAATATTACATACATGTACATGTGTATGGCAAATTAATTACAATAATTGCAAATAACAATTTCTCTTTTTTGTTATAAAAAATAATAATAGATTGCACACACTTTTAGGAAAACCTCAGACATTGAGTTGAGGTTGCACAAGTTAACATTACAGTCATTTAGTTTATCATTACTAGCTTTCAAATAAGAATAAGACATGAACAAAAAAACACAAAAAGACAGAAATAAAACAGAGAGCAGTTATGAAGGTGAGAGATAAGGGCCCTGCGTAGACTATATCATGCAAAATAAAGGGCAACTATTGCTATAATACTTTGCAGTTTCATGAGATGGCAAAGTATAGTTTACCTAGATAAAACAAGTGCCACAAAATGGGTGGTGCCAATCATTAATAGAACTTTTACTCTGTAAGGTTAAACTTTAAACGTAACAATTTTCCCAAACACACACACTCTCTTTTGCCCTGATATTATTTTGAGCTATTGGTACTAGCTGCATACCTCATTCTACACAGCTCGAGACATACACTTACTGCTAGCATAAAAGAACTTACTATTATGTGTAGCTGTTTCTCTTACAGCTCTAGTAACAATAGATACACTTACTGCTAGCGTAAAGAACTTACTATTACGTGTAGCTGTTCCTCTTCTTACAGCTCTAGTATCACCATCAGTTGCTTCTCCTAGTAACAATAGATACACTTACTGCTAGCATAAAAGAACTCACTATTACGTGTAGCCGTTCCTCTTCCTACAGGTCTAGTCTCACCATCAGTTGCTTCTCCTAGTAAAAATAGATACACTTGTAGTGAACTTATGACATCACATCTCATGCATATTCATGATATCTCTTAATATATATTGCATGTTGTGTTTTATAATTGATCAGTGTTTGGGTGTCAAGTCAATTCGAGGTAAATGTGAGTGCTCTATGGCAAGCAGCATATCTGCTTCCTTATCACTAGCTGCAACACACAAATACTCACACGCTAAATTACTTGGCATTGCTATTAATTTTTTTATTCCCGAAACAATAATTATTTATAATTTATGAAGACAACATATGAACAAGATAATTTTGGTAAAAAACTTTAATTAACCATTGGCAATAGTTAGCCAACTACACTTACAGTCTGGTCATAAGTGACTTGCTTTTCAGTGATATACCTCACGTTTTTTATAAGACTAAACAGTACGTGCATGATCTGGGCAAAACTAAATGTGAGAGAAAACAGTTAAGTAACCTAGATGGCCTGGTATTAACATTACTGCATACTTAAGTCCTGTAGATATTGTATGCCTTTCTCTTATTTTGCTTAGCTTCAGCAAATGCTCCAATGTGAGTCTATGAGTTGGCAAGAAGATGATGACTAGAGAAGAGAGGGAGGGAGGTAGAGAAAGAGGGATGGAGAGAGAGGGAAAGAGAGGGGGAAGGGAAGGAGGAGGCAAAACAAGGAGGAAAGGATAAGATAAGATGTACATGTACATGTATCTTATCATTACTAACATTGTGGCTACAGTAATTGATTGGCTTCCATGAAACCTAATGAACAGATAAAAGAACAAACATAGCCAGCTTTAATTCTCTTGATTTGTATATGCTAGCTCACTTGTTTTGTAATCAAGAGCACTTTCCAGATATGCCTGACTTTCTTCATAATGACCAGCATTACTCAGTAGTAAACCAATGTAAAACTACTCAATGTAATTAAAATAAATAATAACAGTTATGATACAAAATTTACAATACTTTTAAACAATACATGTACATGTGTATGATGAAACGAGAACATTGATAAAACAATACTTACATCAACATTAGACATTTCAGGATGATCCTCACCATGTGTTAACATTATTAGATACCTAACTCTATACAGTAATCTCAACGCCACAACATTCCTCTCAGCCCCACAGCAATACTAAACCAAATGGAACTATATAAAGAAAAAAATCAGTGGTAGGCTTAGTCTTTGAAATTATCATGATCATGGTTTCCCACAGGATTTCGACATAATGCTCTCAGTGAATTTTTAAAGTTGTTCCAAATATTGATAAAATATTTCACAATGTATTTTCCCAAAATTTAATCAAACATTGCAAAGATAAAATTTTTATTAAACTTTGTCATACATATAGAAGTTCTAATACTGTGTAAAAATTTTAAGCAGATTTTAATCAAAATTGGGATTTTTATAATATTTAAAACTTGCTTTAAAATTGGACCAAAGACATGGTACATGGTATTTGGCCAAAATTTGCCAAAAACAACTTAGGAGAAAATTCTGTGTTTATAATTTTCTGATAACATATCCATATGTTGTACAGAAAGTTGAAGCTCATTCTGATCAAAATCAGATTTTCATTAATTTTTAAATTTTGCTAGAAAAGGGGCTAATACCAAAGAATTGGTTCTTGACCAAATTTTGCCAAAAATTGCTGAAAGAGACATGTTTCTGATACATATACATTTCCTAATGATGTTTCAAAGTTTGAGCTCATTCTGAACAAATTTGGATTTTTTATGAATTTCAAAGGCTTGTCAGCTCATAAAGCATGCCTTTTAGCTCACTTAGCATGCTTTGTGGGGAACTAATATTGCGATAAATTTATAATAAATATTGTGTGTGTGGCCAGTTATTAATAACTAACATAGGCTGATATAGAGCTGGAGTGGTCCACTCCTAGCAGTCTCTCATACATAATGACAGTTTTGTGCTGATATGATATTGCCTGAAGATGAAAAAAGAGAGAGATAAAATGAAGCAAGTCAATTTAAAATTAAATTTCAATTGAGTAAATAATTAATTGCTACCTTGTAAAGAAATTAAAATATAAAGTTTTGAAGCGTTTTGAACTAAAGTCTGATGAGTTTCATTTGACTTAGTGATTTTTAACGATCTGGGGGTGTGTCCCCTGGTCGTTCCTACATGTATCATTGATTTCACCCACATGCGATGCTTGTATATTTGTATGTCCACACTTACATTTCTTCCATACATGTTGTATTGGAGAAATAAGAAAATTCATAAGCCTTAGCAAACACCCTCTCACGCTCCTTTAAGTAGTCAGAGCAAACAAAATGGTGGCTTACACATAGGACAAAGTTATAAGTTTTTAAGCAAAAGAACATATGTACAGTCTCAAGACCTTTCTTGAAGGATTATAAGGTAGAGAAAACCTCTTTAAGTTTTAATAAGAACCCAGCTGTACATGCAAGGTGGTGAAATCAATTATAGTAATACTGTTACACTGTTACGCTTGTTTGTAATAACTTTTGATAATCCAGGAATTTAGAAATTTTGTTTGTGCCATTAGAATTGCTAAGTCCTTCCCGTCCTTAGAAAAGAAGAACGAATCAAAATGACAAGGCCTTAAAGGCCTTTTTTGGATGTCCCTCTATAAACTCAATGACATACCTTGTCCAAAATTACGCAGCTAGAACAGCCAAATCAAATTCAGCTTCTATTATTATTTGATAACAACCAGGGATCAGGTGAAAGTGAATAGACTTTACAACATGCATAACATCTTAACTTGGTATCAGTCATTTAAACTAAACTACATGTACAACCAGTCGATACATTAACATGTACATGGCATGCACATACATGTAGTTACATGCACCACTTACTAGTTTACTGTCTCCTAAAGCATGATGAATTCGTGCAATAACTCTATGTGTAATAATACAATGGAATATATAAGTACTTAAATGACACCACTCACTTATAACAGTTTGCTATGTTGACATGTAGTGGCCCAAAAACTTGAGCAAACAATTGCACAGCTTCAGATAGATAGTCAAGAGCAACTTCAATATTACCAGACTGCAACTGACCTGAGCCAACTCATACAAACCAAAGGCTTCAAGAGGCTGGGGGGATTGAGGGAAAGAAAATTTAAGATAAAAGAAAATTAGAAATACAACAAAATTGTTGAAGATTGAAGTACACATACATGTAAAAGACAATATACCGTCGATCTGAAAATTTTTTACTGTGATTTTAATTTCACTGGATTAGAATTCCAAAAAAAATTAGATCACCTACATAATTATATGCCACATTAAATAATACATGACACAGTCTTTTTGGTAAATTAATTAACAGCATCATTTAAAAACACAAAAGTTTCTACCACATAAATTTCCTAAACTACGGTATATATTGTAAACTACGGTATATATTGTGTGGCAAAAGTGACAGTACAAAGCAGTAATAAATGAAGTTTTGTCTCACTTTAAAATCAGTGTGCTTAACAACAGGTAAAATATAGGCAAGATCACCTTCATTGAATGGAGCAGTCAAGCAAAATTTGTAATCCTTCAATGTAATCTGTACTCCTGATAAGTGGTGCGGTCAATGAATATTATTGAGGTATGATGCCATCTAACCTGTTTTGTTACAGAATTCCCTGAGAAGAGAGACTTTGCTAACACCACAAGTAGTACACATGTGAGTTACAGAATTACTAGAGAAAGAGATAGACATTTAAGTACATGTACATCATTAAATATTGTTTATTCCGTTATTATTAGCTTACTATTCCAATGTGTACAGGAAATGCTGAAGTACATCTTCCACTAACAGTTTCCATAACTTTCCTTGACAAAAGTCTAAACAAAATATATCATCAACGTACTGTACATGTACAAGTTGCATATTATCAATTGCAGCTATTGTACAAAGTAAAAGGTAAAGTAAACATACACTGCATATGGCCTTTGATCATGATAAATGCACTGCAATGGCTCCATACATTAATAGTAACATAATACAGTCATTACATGTTCATATACATGTAGAGTGAATGCACATTATGCTCTGTATGTCACACATGCTGTAAAAGATATACATCTTGCACAATACCTTTTCCAGCAGATGTAGTTTTAGTGACTGGACCACTAGCACCACCACCACCACTTCCTCCTCCCTTCTTCTTTTTGGACTTCTTTTTTGTGGCAGCAACCTGAGAGGGAGACAGAGAGAAAGGACCAATGATACAACAGGAGAGTAGGAGACAATAGTACTGTACAGTACTTACTTCATCAGAAACAATCTCTTCAGTATCAGTCTAAAAAATTAAAAAGAGCAAAGTCAAATAATGACAAAATTAAAGTTACATGTACATTATGTACAAATGTATTGTTAGTGTACTATTATCACTGCATATCTTACTAGTAAACAGTTGAGGAAATAAGCCACATTGGCTGACACACGGTTCAATGGAGTCGTTAATAAAAGCTTCCTGAATCTCTTCTTAGTATCATCTTAGGAACACAGATCCTCTACGAGATAAAATACATGTACATGCATATGCAAACATACAAGTATAGTGTCATTAATATGTAAAATGATGGCAGATCTGTGTGGAGAAATTGCTGATACAGTACGTCCTCGATTATCAGTACCTCTTTTATCCAAACCCTTGTTTATCCAAACGCATGGCTGCCTCTAATGCCCATGCTCAGACTAGTTAATTTATTAATAACCAGTTAAAATGGCTGCTGCAGCAAGAAGCTTACGGAGCTTAACAAAAGAAATACCATATACTGGGAAATTTTTGAGTAGCCAAACTTTCGCGAATTTCACGTTTTTTGCTTCGTCGCAAAAAAAATCGCGAAATTGTAAATTTCCAGTGCCACGTGGTGGAGTTTACAGGCTGCTTGCAAAAATATTATGTCATGAAATCTTACAAATGCAAAATTCGTGAAAATTTAGCAATGCGAAAATATCCCAGTATATGGTACCATTAAAGAGAAGCCTGAGATGCTCCGGGAGTTAGAGAATGGAAAGTCATACTCATTTAATTTTCAGAAAAGTATAGGATAGGTTGGCCTACTGTATTCTGTGCTGTATTTCACTTATCCAGACTATAGAGGATATGCGTGCTAGGTATATTCATAACTTTTAAGTACCGTATATCCAACCCACACAGTAAATTGGCCGCCATGTTGGATATCAAGTTTATTAAGAGTTCAATGGGGGAAAACTCATTTTCTTGCCTTCCTACCTTCTTGAGGCCTTTTTCGGAAGCTTAGAAAGCATACTGAGGCTCTAATGGGTCTAGTAGTCACCTGAAAGTTTGCTATCAAGAAATAAAGAGCGGTTTCCTGGTACCAAGCCTTTTTCTATCTTTTCTCCTTTGCTGCCAATGGAAAGTTGACATCCAACGAACTAATTTCTTTCTTGAAAGTTATTACGGCATGCAATGAATACACTTAGCATGTTTATCCTCTATTCAGCTATCTGAACATCTCTCCCAATAGAGGTGCACAAAGGTGTTCGGATAATCGAGGACGTACTGTACCAAATTAGCTACTACTACATGTACAAGCAACTAATGATTCGCCAAAATTATATTTTGGCAAAACTGCTAAACCCACAAAACTGCTAAACCCACAAAACTGCTAGTACCAGTACCATTGCATGTCGAGAATTAGTTGACTTACATGTAAGTGGTCCAGATCCTTCCCTTCCCTTGTAAAAATTCCCAGCAAGATCTTACAAGATAATCATTAATATTTTAGGATCTTACAAGGAATTGCAAGATTATAATTCTTGTGTAATCTTGCCTGGCAAAATCTTGTGAAATCTTAACCGGGATTTTTCATAATTTTTAAGCATTGGGGAAGTTGTGTGATCTCATAAGATCACATTTCAAAAGAAAATATAAGATCTTGTGTTTATTGTAAATTATGTAAGATCATGCAATATCACATTATTATTATTTTACGGTAAGATCTCACAAGATCATGTGTACATTTAACTTAAGTGATCTTGTGTGACTTTGTAAGAAATATTGTATCATTTCATATGCAAGAAAAGACAAGATCTTGTGTTTACGTAAATCATGTAAGATCATGCAATATCTCGTTATTATTGTTCTACGGTAAGATCTCTCAAGATCATGTGTACATTTAACTTAAGTGATCTTGCGTGACTTTGTAAGAAATGTTGTATCATTTCATATGCAAGAAAAGACAAGATCTTGTGTTTATGTAAATCATGTAAGATCATGCAATATCTCGTTATTGTTCTACAGTAAGATCTCACAAGATCATGTGTACATTTAACTTAAGTGATCTTACGTGACTT